ATTTCACTGACATATTGCTTAGCTCATAAAGTACAGAGCACATGCGTAGTGTTATTTTGTACTTGAAAAGAAATTACAACTATTGAAATATATTATTATTTCTATATTTTGACGACTAAATCTGAGGCCAGTCGCTGAGCCAGACGCTCGCTGTGTCCGTGTGCCATTGGACAGATGTGGAAAATGCAATGGCATGTGAGAGCAGCCTTTTATTCCAGAGTGAAGCCAAAGCCACCACTAGAGGGTGAGAAGGGGAAGTGGCCTTAGTGTGGCCATTTTGTTGTAGACCAGAAGAGGATGAAGTGTCCTTGGTGTGGCCATTTTGTTGTAGACCAGAAGAGGGGGAAGTTTCCTCTGCAGTCATTTTGTTGTAGACCGGAAGAGGAGGGAGTATTCGCCAGCAATAGACAGGAAGAGGTGGCAGTGCCATTTTGTTGTAGACCAGCTCTTATAATTCATTTATCTTCATGTATCAACTTACTCAGATATTTTTGCCATAGAGCGGAAACCTTTCTGTTTTTTACACATTGGCAGTATTTATATTGATGGTTATATAAAAAATCTATACATTTTATGGATTCAATAGGTTTTTTCCTGCAGGACGCCATTTTGTTGTAGCCCAGAGGAGAGGACGGATCGACTGAAAGCCTAGAGTCCTCTTGGTGGGGGGTGTGAGTCTGGAGAGTGTGTGCAGTGGTAATGAGGAGGTAATGATGTCTTCTTCTTATTGTTAGAGACTATCGAAAAAGTGCTCCTTCCAGAATGGGCAAGGTCGGGGTGGCGGTATTATGGGGTGTGTGGAGGGAATTGTGGGGCATTGAATGCCACAGAGGGTGGGGGTATCAATGTTTCCCTGCAGGCACGGAGTCAGAGTGGAGGGGGGAGCTAAGACCGTTCGTCTACTTAAAGTGTAAATTAACCCTTTCGCTACCGGAATGTTAAAATCTGAGTTTTTGGCCTGCAACCCCACTGAGTCATGTAAATTTGATCTGGCGGCTACATGACCACCCCCAGATCAATTTTAGCTGAGGGCTGGAAGTTGGAGATACGTCCCGAATCCTAGAAGCTTTCCTGGGTCATCACTGAGGATGGTGATGGACCATAGGGACAAAGCTTTGATGATATGAGACATTATAACAGCAAGTGTGTAAATTGGAGATGCAGCCAATGATTTGAATGGAATGGTGAGGGGCTAGAACTTTAATCCATGTTTTTGCGGCATCCAAATCCCCCAAAAATGTTTTGGGCTGGACCTACACTTTAATTCATGATCTGATATCATGTAATCTTACAGAGGTCCCTCCCACGAGGTGCAGAGTCCCTTCGCTGAGAATGTATAAGGAGCAAAATTACATGACTGAGATATTACAGCTCACCCTGAAGATCATCTACCTGCTGACCGGAGAGGTGAGGAGGATTCTGTGAGGTCACATGACATCACTCTTATCTCTATTAATAAAACATAGACCTGACCGGAGAGGTGAGGAGGATTCTGGGAGGTCAAATGACATCACTCTTATCTCTATTACTAAAACACAGACCTGACTGGAGAGATGAGGAGGATTCTGTGAGGTCACATGACATCACTCTTATCTCTATTCATAAAACACAGACCTGACCGGAGAGATGAGGAGGATTCTGTGAGGTCACATGACATCGCTCTTAGGCCTCGGTTGCGCGTTCTCAACATGTTAATATGAAAACATACTCTTGCTTTCTACATAGGATTACACAGTGGTGAAGAAGACAGCTGGCGATAATGTGACACCCAGCGGCCATCCCCGTGTCCGCCAAAGACGGAGCATGACTCCGAACGTCATCATGGACCCTCCACCTCCCCCCCTGGCACCAGGGAGGAAAAATGACAAGAAGATCCTAGAAGTCACCCAGAAGATCATTGAGCTGCTGACAGGAGAGGTGAGCGGTGCCGGGAATTCTGGGACATGATCCAGGAACAGACAAGGGATGTGTCTGGGTGGTGACTGTATCATTGTGTGTGTCAGGTTCCTATAAGGTGTCAGGATGTCTCTGTCTATTTCTCCATGGAGGAGTGGGAGTATCTAGAAGGACACAAGGATCTCTACAAGGACGCCATGATGGATAACTGGCCGCCCCTCACATCACCGGGTAAGAGGAGACTTTAATTTCTTGTAAAGGAGAGAAGAGTATTGAGGATCCCATGATATAAAGACATTGAAAGTGTGTTTCCTACAGATGGATCCAGTAAGAGGAGCCCACCAGAGAGATGTCCCCATCCTATGTATTCCCGGGATTCCACACAGGAACATCAGGAGATCCCTCAGACCCGTCCTCTGTATTCCCGGGATTCCACACAGGAACATCAGGAGATCCCTCAGGATGATCAGGTAGATGAGCTTGTGTCATTTCAAATTAGGTTGGAAAACCTGTGAGCAATGATGAGGTGCGTTCCCCTGTATGTCCAATATCCATCTAATGTCCATGAAGACCATAACACATTGAGTCTGTTACATGTGATCTTTACCAGAATTAGACATTTATTACCTGTATTCTATATTTGTTATTTAGGGTGAAACTCTGATTGCCATAAAAGTTGAAGTTGACGAGGAAGCCGAAGAGCCGTAGTCATATAACGAGGAGGAAATCCCTCCAGAGATCAGCACAGGTGAGGAATAAACACTAAATCCAGAGAAGAGTCCCAGATTCTCCTTGTTCAGTCACTACAACAATCTCTTCTTCTCCCCCCTCCTCTGTCAGTAGACAGTAATGGGGGGACGGAATGTGTCTAGTGGGGGGAGTCAGGAGCCATCAGCCTCTATTAGACTCCGCCTCTCCTCCTCACATCATGTCATTGTGTGTTACCAGCCAAGAGACATGACCAGTCTCCCCCCCACACACACTCTCTGGGGTCTCTCATACATCTCAGTACAGGGGCCTTCACTCTCATCTTTATTTACAGGCAGTAATGGGGGGACGGAATGTGTCTAGTGGGGCGAGTCAGGAGCCGTCAGCCTCTATTAGACTTCCGCTCTCCTCATATCAGTAGCTGCTCTGCTCACTTCCTGAAGTGTGATGGGCCATGTAGCCTTGTACACAAAAGTATTAACTTTAGGAGACCCTAGACAACTTGGATCAATAGTAAGAATTTAAGTAAGAGCCTTGCTGAGTTTTTGCTGAGGGGTGTAGCTAAAGGATTTTGTGCTCCATGTCTAGGCTCGATCTGTCCAACTGTTGTCCACATGGATGGATACCGTAACAGAAATACCCCACAGAGATATCCCCGTCCCCTGTACTGCTGGGACTCCACACAGGAACGTCACAACATCCCTCAGCATGATCAGGTAGGTGGTGCTATGGTGAACATACTTTATCTGAATTGTATTGGTTATAACAGATCTATCAAACGGATCTTGTGGTGCTAAATTTCATATAATATGATTTATTGTTTATTTAGGGTAAAATGTTGTTGAAGGAGGAAGCAGAAGAGTCGTATGTGATGGGGGTTAAGCTGTGTAAAGAGGAGGAAATTCCTGTAGAGATCAGCACAAGTGAGTAATAAACACCTAATCCAGAAGAGTCCCAAAATCTTCTTCCATCTGTTCTAAGATCTTTGTCATCTCAGTCTGGAGCTCAAAAAATAGAGTTTTGGGAACTGTATACTCTTCAAGCTCTAGAAATTGCAAAGTTCAAAGACTTGTGTGTTCTTCAAATACCAGACAGAGATGACTGTTGCGAGAGTGGTGTGTTCTCCAATGTCCCCACTCAGGTGACAGGGTTCCTAGAGTTGTGTGTTTTCCGATCTCCGGACTGATATGACAGAGTTCTGAGAGCTGTGTACTCTCTAAGGTGTGGACTGAAATGGAAATGTTCCAAGAGCTGTGTGCTTTTTTAGCTCCAAGCTGAGATGACAGAGTTTTGAGAACTGTGTACTCTTTGAGCACTAGAATAAAATGGCAACGCTGCAAGAGTTGTGTGTTCTTCGAATTCTAGACTGAGATGACAGAGTTGCAAGAGTTGTGTGTTCCCTGAGATCCAGGTTGAGATGACAAAGTTCCAAGAGCTGTGTGCTCTCCAAGCTCCAGACTGAGATGAAAAAGTTCCGTGGGCTGTTTTTCATCTCAGTCTGGAGCTTGGAGAACAGAGTTCCGTGGGCTGTTTGTTCTCCAAGCTCTAGTTTGAGATGAGAGACTTCTGAGAGCCGTGTGTTCCCTGAGATCCAGATTGAAATGAAAGGGGTCTGAAAGCTGTTTGTTCTCCAAGCTCAAGACTTGAATGACAGAGTTCTGAGAGTTATGTGTTCTCCAAGCTCCAGACAGATGATAGTGTTTAGAGAGCTTTATGAACCAGAATGAGATGAGAGTTCCGAGGGCTGAGTGTTCCCTGAGAATCCAGATTGAGATGAAAGAGTTCCGAGAGCTGTGTGTTCATCAAGCTCCAGACTGAAATGACAGATTTCTCAGAGCTGTGTGTTCTCCAAGTTCCAGACTAAGGTGACAGAGTTTCGAGATCTTTGTGTTCTCCAAGCTTCAGAGTCAGGTGACAGAGTTCCAAGAGTTGTATGTTCTCGGAAGTCCTGACTGAGGTTACAGAGTTAGGAGAGTTGTGTGTTCTCCGAGCTCCAGAATGAGATGACAGAGTTCTGACAGCTATGTGTCCTCCAAGCTTCAGACTGAGATGACAGAGTTCTGAAAGCTGTGTGTTCTCTGAGGTCCAGACTGAGGTGACGGAGTTCTGAGAGCTATGTGTCCTCCAAGCTCCAGACTGAGGTGATAGAGTTTAGAGAGCTATGTGTCCTCCAAGCTTCAGACTGAGGTGACAGAGTTCTGAGAGCTATGTGTTCTCCAAGCTTCAGACTGAGGTGACGGAGTTCTGAGAGCTATGTGTTCTCCGAGCTCCAGATTTAAATAACAGTTTGTTTCTTGTACTCTCCCAGCTCCAGAACTTCCTGACAAATAGTTTTGTTCCTCTTATCTTCTAGATGTCTCCTTTTCCCCGGATGGACGATACAGACATTACAAGACAGAGGAACCTGAACTAGATAACCTCACATTACACAGTTCAAGGTCTCCGTCTATAAACCCCGTTCTTCACAGTGGACATCCATCATTTGATCCCTCAACCTGGATGGGCTTTCCTCCTCATATACCTCTTCCCGTCTCTCATCAAGCTGCTCACATGCAGGTGGAACCCGTCCCATCTTATCGTGGTGAAGGTTTTACCACGAGGGCAGGACTCATCCCACCCCTGAGGAGCCATACAGCAGAGAGGCCATTTTCTTGCTCCCAATGTGGCAAATGTTTTTCCCGCAAATTCTGCCTCATTACACACGAAAAGATTCACATGGGGGTGAAGCCATTTTCCTGTTCTCAATGCGGAAAGTGTTTTTCCCGGAAATCGTCCCTCATCACGCACGATCGAGTCCACACGGGCGAGAGGCCGTTTTCATGCACGCAGTGCGGGAAGCGGTTTTCTCAGAGGTCCCATCTCATCGGTCATGAGCGGACTCATACGGGGGTGAAACCATATGTGTGCCCGGTGTGTGGGAAGTGTTATTCCCGCAAGGCTGATCTGGACGATCATCACAGAACCCACACGGGGGTGAAGCCGTACTCCTGCTCCACGTGCGGGAAATGCTTCAACAACAAATCAAACTTTTTCACTCACCAGAGGACCCACAACGCCGACGGCAATGGTAAGGACAGACGTTTGCAGCGATGGGGTAAGGTGATTGGACTCTTAAAGTAAACTTGTGCAGGGCAAGGGAACAGCTTCAATACCCACCAGCCTCTGCATATACTCATCTTCACTTTGCTTTCCCACCACGTTCTTTGCCTACAAGAGGGAAGAGAAGAGACCTCGTGGTAGCTCCAATTTGCTCTAGTCGAAGTCTATACAGTGCTAAGGACCATCTCACTGTCCACCATGTGACCGCATCCATGCCTGGTGTTTGGCCACTCGGGCACCCAGTACTGTATCATGGGAGGAAGGGGAGTAACATGACCTCTCATAGCCATGGTGCTATTAAAGGGCAACTGTGATCTTTTTACATGAATTTTTTTTTTTAGCATGTTTGAAAGAGATCAGATAGATGTTCATAGTCTCATCAAAGCGTGTTATGTATTAAAAACCTTATTTCTACATGTAACGTGTAATTGTGTATAAACACGGGGGCGGCCGTAGTTGCTCATTATGTATGCAAGCTCTGTTTAGTATGCCAAGCAAGCACTCGGTAATCGCTCGTTATTTCCGGGTGGAGGCATTTGCTGTGACGCAATTATGTTGACAACTGCAGAATGTGTGTGTGTGTACTGTTCAGGGATCAGTGCAGAAACTTGGGTCATATGGAGGGTGGAGACCATGGCAAAGTCCCAGAGTAGCTGTCCTTTTCCTTCAGTAAAGATCACATGACCAGTACCTAGGCTTTTAGTCACATGACCCGCTGCTCTGGGATCCTGGACCACCCTTTCTGCAGCGAGGTTATTTCACGCCTTCGAGCACTTGGGTGGGCAGGGTAGCGGTGGGGGTCTTATTTGACTCTACGATGTCTGTAAGTGCAGAGCCTGGCGTCGATGGATAATTTACCCCTCTTGATCTTGCCGAGTCCCCATCCAGATGGTGAGGTCATGTGACCTCCTTAGAACAACAGAAGGAGCCAGATCCTGCTGGGGAGCACTTGCACGTATCCGCCATCTCGGAGGGCAAAAATAAACACGACCAAAGGAGACCACAAAACGGTTTTATTCATTTTTTACAGAGCTGTATGAAGCAACCACAGAATGGAAATGTCCGGTAAATCCAATCCCATGTTCCCAATGACCCTCGTCATGTCTGCAACAACAACAAAAAAGCAGCCACATGTAGGGCAAATAAATGTGTGTCCTAGCAACCAAGGATGCTGTGCAGCCAACAGCGTCCTAGCAACCAAGGATGCTGTGCAGCCAACACTGTCCTAGCAACCAAGGATGCTGTGCAGCCAACACTGTCTTAGCAACCAAGGATGCTGTGCAGCCAACACTGTCTTAGCAACCAAGGATGCTGTGCAGCCAACACTGTCTTAGCAACCAAGGATGCTGTGCAGCCAACACTGTCTTAGCAACCAAGGATGCTGTGCAGCCAACACTGTCTTAGCAACCAAGGATGCTGTGCAGCCAACACTGTCTTAGCAACCAAGGATGCTGTGCAGCCAACACTGTCTTAGCAACCAAGGATGCTGTGCAGCCAACACTGTCCTAGCAACTAAGGATGCTGTGCAGCTCGGAGGCTGAACATGGAAGGAAGATTGCGTGTTCATGGCATGGACACTCCTGCGTCAGTGCTGCCCACACTAGGGGCGCACCGATACCAGTCAATGCCGATACCGAGTATTTGGGCAAGTACTTTTACTCGCCCAAATGCTCCGATACTTACCCCTAAATCCGAACTTCCGGTCAGAGGAAGATTTCCTCTGACCGGCGTTGCCACGAGGGAATATGGAGCCAGCTTCCTGTCCAATCTGAAAGGCGGTTAATGACTCACCGCCTGGCTTCCTGCTTGGCCGGGAAGCCGGCTTCATGCTGTTTGGCTGGCTCAATGTTAATTGGCCAGGAGGTCGGCTTCCCAGCCAATCAGCAACGAGGCGGCCAAACAGCATGGAGCCGGCTTCCCGGGCAATCAGGTAATGACACACCACCCAGATTTCTGATTGCCCGGGAAGCCGGCTCCAAGGTAGCGGAGGTACCAGTATCGGTACTCGGTATCAGCAAGCACCAAAAGATAAATATCGGTACTCGATACCGAAAAACGGGTATCGGTGCATCTCCAGCCTCCACAATGCTTCCATACCACCTATTCATAAACATGCGCATGTATCTGTTGCAGGCACAACACAATTCTAAAACATGTCGACAACCCTCTTTATGAATTCCAGGGATAGTGTTGTCGGCTCAAACAGGAAGGAGAACAATATATTTCTGGCACATCAACCGTTATTTTCCTGTACTTGTAGGGCCTTTGAAGGGATAAGACATGGAGAAATGCAGTCTCACCGCACTTATTTTCTGTTCCTCCAGTCCCCCTGCGGACCAAGTGCAAGTAGTACTTTGTCCCGTTCTGTTCAGTGTTATAGGTGCTGAGCTAGCATGGTCGACACCACGTTCCCCTGCCCCCACCGCTGTTCAACTATGCTGCTCAGTAGGTGATGAATACCTAATTAGTTGTGATAGGCGATGCTTGCCTCCGGCACCGGGTGCATGCCCGGTCCATGCCCATGACCAGCACCTTAACCGCTCATGCAGGGGGAGGGGGGCGTGTCAGCAAAACTATCATGAGCAGATTCATAGGACTGACCAACATGCACGCTCACAGCAGAGGGAGCGGTTCCAACTGAGCTCTGCTTGAGCTCCACAATAGGAACACCCACAAATCGGGCTTCATACAGGGGAGGAGCTCACAGGCAATAATAGCAGACGTAAACATGTGACTTTCTTGATAAGAGCCTCTACTACCCACTTTGGCATTTGACAGCTGGATGACACGGGACATGGCTTACACCTAGGGAGGATGGGGCCTAATCATGGCTTGGGTGGAAGTTACTGCTTCGTGTACAGACTGGGCCTTGAATATAAGGGGCTCCACATGGAGACAAGGATGGACTTGAAGGCTAATACAGGTACTTGCAGGAACCACAAGGTGCCTACATTTCATTGCGGTTGTTACAGTGTAGTCCAGGTCAGGTTAACCTTGCCCGTAGTCTCCCCCCTACCCAGCAGCACATAATCACCTACTCTTCGCTCCCTATCCACGTTGTTTGGAGGCCAGATCAAAAAGAAATACTCAGTACTGTGTATAGAGGTGCATGTCACTCACTCCCCTCCTTCCCACGTCACAGTGCTAGAAAAGGGATGGGGAGAAGGAGGGTGCGCTGTTGACCATGCTAGCTGGTGATTGGTAGCTCAGGCACACATGGCTATCATATGGGGAAGAGGACAGGGTCCTCGAACCTGTCTAGGCTCCAAGTCAGGAGCCAGAGCTTATATAGCAAGTTTTAAGGTAGCAAAGGGCAAGGGGGAGGAGTTAAGTGAACCTTTTCCTTTGCTTTACACGTGTTATCTATAAGAGTTATCCTGCCACGTCCCACCACTCCATTCCTGTCCTTGACATCACTCCCGTTGGTTCTGGAACACTTCAACCCCGGCTTTGGCTGTTCCACTCTGTGGACTCTCAACGTCCTGACCGAAATGTGACTTCTGTACGAACCACGCCTTCAGTACAAAGACGGTTTATAAGGACAACGTGTCCCCAACCAACATAACTAAGATCTTTCACACTGAAAAGATTCCCCAAATCCATCACAAGAGAACACCTCCTTGGTGGTGCAGGAGCGCTCCTGACCAAGAAAACTCGACTGGCCATTAAAGCATTTGCCGGGGGATTGGTGATGTTTGTCCAGATAGGTTTTCCGGGAGAAACACTGGCCGCATCCGGAGCAGGAATATGGCTTCTCCCCGGTGTGGGTCCTTTCGTGGACTATAAGATGTGTCCTCTGCGAAAACCGCCTCCCGCATTCCGAACACGGATACGGCTTCTCCCCGGTGTGAACCCTTTTGTGCAAATTGAGGACCGACCTCCGGATAAAAGACTTCCCGCATTCGGAGCACGAATGCGGCTTCACCCCGGTGTGAAGTTTTTCATGCGTCAGCAGAGACGATCTCTGAGAAAAACACTTTCCGCATTCCGAGCAGCAATAGGGCTTCTCTCCCGTGTGAGTCGTCTCGTGGGAACTGAGGTGGCCCCTCTGAGAAAAACACTTGCCGCACTCGGGACACAAGAACGGTTTGGCCCTTGCGTGAAGTCTTTTGCGTCGCAGAGCCGCTGTTTTCTGTTGAAAGCATTTCCCAGGTTCGGAGGAGGAAGCTTCTCTATCTCCGACGTGGCTGGTCTGGTGACGATGCAGAAGATATTTTTGGAGAAAACATCTCCCACATTCGGGACATGGATATGTCTTCTCCGCCCCGTGAGTTCTCTTCTCCATGAAACATTCGCTTTCAGTAAAATATTCGCTGTGGCCAAAGCGAGGAAACGTTTCGGCCCCGGCACGAGACGTGCCGTGGATGACAGAATGGAGGTCTTCAGAAAACCGAGTCTCGCGCCATGGATAATACAAAAGGTCTACACGTTTTGAAAGGAGATTTGGGCCAATGGGGGTCTCATCTGGAAAATCTGGTGTGATGTCTTCATCTTCCTCGCCTGGAAATGTGACGGCACTTTTCTCCATCCAGCCGTTGCATCCACCTACAAGGAATAGAATGAGAAGATATAGGAACGTGGTGGATCGACCTCTCACATGGAAAAGTGTTAAAACAGCTGATGGCTTCTGACTCCCCCCACTAGACACATTCCGTCCCCCTATTACTGTCTACTGACAGAGGAGGGGGAGGGGAGAAGAAGAGATTGTTGTAGTGACTGAACAAGGAGAATCTGGGACTCTTCTCTGGATCTAGTGTTTATTCCTCACCTGTGCTGATCTCTGGAGAACGTTCCTCCTTACATGGATCATCACCCCTCACATATAGACCTTCTTCATCCTCATCAACTTCAACTTTTATGGCAATCAGAGTGTCACCCTACACAACACAAAAGAAAATAAAGATGCACAATAATATCCAATCCTGGTAAGGATCACATGTAATAGGCTCACTGTGTTTATGGCCTTCATTGACATTACATGGACATACAGGTGCAAACCCAAAGTCCCCAAACGTTTGTGCTGGTCACCAAATCTCTAAACCTCAAACTGCAACCACTTATGTGTAGCTCTAAGTGGGGAGACATGCTGCAAACATCTCCTGTGTTGGCTTGTCAGGGTGGGTTGAAAACCTGTATTTGAAATGACACCCAAACTCATCTACCTGATCAGCCAGAAGAATCTCATGTTGTTCCTGCGTTGAATCCCGGGAATAGAGAAGATGGGATTGAAGGATCTCATGATGTTTTTGTGTAGAATCTCCAAAATACATAGAACGGGCCTGAGGGATCTCATGATGTTCCTGTGTGGAGTCCCGGGAATACAGAGGACGGGCCTGAGGGATCTCATGATGTTCCTGTGTGGAATCCCGGGAATACAGAGGACGGGCCTGAGGGATCTCATGATGTTTCTGTGTGGAGTCCCGGGAATACATAGAACGGGCCTGAGGGATCTCCTGATGTTCCTGTGTGGAATCCCGGGAATACAGAGGACGGGCCTGAGGGATCTCATGATGTTCCTGTGTGGAATCCCGGGAATACAGAGGACGGGCCTGAGGGATCTCATGATGTTCCTGTGTGGAGTCCCGGGAATACAGAGGACGGGCCTGAGGGATCTCATGATGTTCCTGTGTGGAATCCCGGGAATACAGAGGACGGGCCTGAGGGATCTCATGATGTTTCTGTGTGGAGTCCCGGGAATACATAGAACGGGCCTGAGGGATCTCCTGATGTTCCTGTGTGGAATCCCGGGAATACAGAGGACGGGCCTGAGGGATCTCATGATGTTCCTGTGGGGAGTCCCGGGAATACAGAGGACGGGCCTGAGGGATCTCATGATGTTCCTGTGGGGAGTCCCGGGAATACAGAGGACGGGCCTGAGGGATCTCATGATGTTCCTGTGGGGAGTCCCGGGAATACAGAGGACGGGGACATCTCTCTTGAGGATTTCTGTTCCTGGATCCATCTGTAGGAAACACACACACTGACTGAATACATTGTTTCTATGTCTTTATATCAGAGGGTGTGTGTATCTAGGGGGATCCTCAATACTCAAGAAATGAAAGTCTCCTCTTACCCGGTGATGTGAGGGGCGGCCGGTTCTCCATCATGACGTCCTTGTAGAGATCCCGGTGTCCTTCTAGATACTCCCACTCCTCCATGGAGAAATAGACAGAGACATCCTGACACCTTATAGGAACCTGACACACACAATGATACAGTCACCATCCAGACACATCCCTTGTCTGTTCCTGGATCATGTCCCAGAATCCCCGGCACCGCTCACCTCTCCTGTCAGCAACTCAATCATCTTCTGGGTGACTTCTAAAATCTTCTTGTCGTTGTCTTTCTCGGGGGTCAGGGAGGGAGGTGGAGGGTCTTTGGACTTCTTTATAATCGGTCCATAATCCTGCATAATAAGATAATGAACATTACATATATAAATGGTTACTGTCCCCATAATAACCCTCACCTCTCCGGTCAGGTCTGTATTTTATGAATAGAGAAGAGTGATGTCATGTGACCTCCCAGAATCCTCCTCACCTCTCCGGTCAGGTCTGTGTTTTATTAATAGAGATGAGAGTGATGTCATGTGACCTCCCAGAATCCTCCTCACCTCTCCGGTCAGGTCTGTGTTTTATTAATAGAGATTAGAGTGATGTCATGTGACCTCCTAGAATCCTCCTCACCTCTCCGGTCAGCAAGTAGATGATCTCCAGGGTGAGCTGCAACAACCTCGCAGTCATGTGATTCTCCATCTTCAATGAAAAGCCCAGAAACAGTCTTTGCTCCTCGTGGGAGGGACCTCTGTAAAGTTCAATATATCATACATTATGGAAAAGCAGCACCAATTCTTTTTTATAGTTTTAGTTTTGAATAGTTGAGCCTGTATTGCTGTCTGTGCCCCTTTTGAGTGAATTTTCCCTCACTTCCTGTACGGTTGACACAACCGAAATTGAGAAGAATCTCTCTGATGGGGGCGAAGATGTGAAATGGTTTTGATAAAGCTACACGGCGGCAATGAAGTGTACGTTATATGCCGAGGGCTGTAGGACACCAATGGGCAGCTTATGATACTGGCAGGGAAGGGGAATGCCAGCAGGCAGAGCATGCTAAGAAATAACCAGAGGACGCCCAGCCATATAAATGGAGCAGAGGATCCTGGGAAAGTGGTCTTCAGGTGGCACAGAGAGGGGCAAGCTGGAGAAAGGGTTGATGGTTCAGTGCTGAACCTGCTGACCCCTTACATTGTGCTGCTAAGGGACATGTGACCTGACCCACAAGGTCAAATCATGACCCATACTCCCCCTTTCAGTCCAGAGAGAGAATGCTGGGACTCCCTCCTCTTAATATAAGGACTTTATTACCTCCTCTTCCCTGGGAACACACTGTCCAGTCTGGACACCAGGAAGCTTCTACCTCTACTTCTTGTCTCCTCCTACGGGCAACAACAAAATGGCCGCCGCACTGCACAAGAACTGCAAATTTTTAAAATTTTTCCCCCCATCAATTGGGAGTAAACGATTCCTCTTGAGCCATATTAAACAGCTCTCCCACTGTGCTACACAAATTATCTTCTTCTGGCATAATGGAGATAGAATGTGCTCCAAGAAAATGGCCGCCGCCGTCTTATAGTGACATTGGTCAGCTTGGCTTTTTTCAAGCACCGTGGGGCCAATAGACACAGAGCTGGTGTTCTGTCACAAAAACCAATGGTGTAACTTCGGTCTGCGGAAAGAGCTTGGCGTTACTATGGTAACCGAGAAGCGGCTTGGCGGCCTTGGAACGCACACAGCGGAAGTTGGGAGCCACAGGGAGGAAGTGGGAGGAGTGTACCAGGAAGTGATGATAGAGGGGAGACAGCTGCCCAGGGCTGAAGGGGGTCCTCCATGTCTCCAGCCCGAGACGGGGACACAATAATATTTATTTAATGATAAGGTGATTATCAGTTACACTTCAGAATGGGGATTGCTGAGAACATTGTTTGGGGGTCATTTACTGTGTGAAGGGAACCTGTCATGGCTTCCAGTAATGTGCAAGGGCATCCGCCATGTAGTTAGATGGTTGATGGAAAGGCGGGTTCATTCAGCTTAGTAAATTGGCCAAAACAATCGACAAAAGCGTGCTTGTATTTTATTCTTGATTTCTTTTGTTTGGGTACGTGTTGTTGTTCACAGGAGTCTCCGTTGGTCCCTCCCATGAGGAGCAAAGATGGAGAAGGCGCGGAGTCACGTGACCAAGAAGATCCTAAACCTCACCCTGGAGATAATCTACCTGCTGACCGGAGAGGTGAGAAGGATTCTGGGAGGTCACATGACATCACTCTTATCTCTAATAATAAAACACAGACCTGACCAGAGAGGTGAGGAGGATTGTGGGAGGTCACATGACATCACTCTTATCTCTATTAATAAAACACAGACCTGACCAGAGAGGTGAGGGGGATTCTGGGAGGTCACATGACATCACTCCTATCTCTATTAATAAAACAGACCTGACCAGAGAGGTGAGGGGGATTCTGGGAGGTCACATGACATCACTCTTATCTCTATTCATAACACACAGACCTGACCGGAGAGGTGAGGAGGATTCTGGGAGGTCACATGACATCACTCCTATCTCTATTCATAAAACCCAGACCTGACCGGAGAGGTGAGGAGGATTCTGGGAGGTCACATGACATCACTCTGATCTCTATTCATAAAACACAGACCTGACCGGAGAGGTGAGGAGGATTCTGGGAGGTCACATGACATCACTCTTATCTCTATTCATAAAACACAGACCGGAGAGGTGAGGAGGATTCTGGGACAGGTTTTCATGGTTTATTTCCATATTTAGGATTATGGACCCATAAAGAAGTTGAGTGATCCTCTGAGGCCTCCCTCCCTGATTTTTAAGAAGGGCAGCAACAAGAAGGTTCTAGAAGTCACCCAGAAGATCATTGAGCTGCTGACGGGTGAGGTGAGCGGTGCCGGGAATTCTGGGACATGATCCAGGAACAGACAAGGGATGTGTCTGGATGGTGACTGTATCATTGTGTGTGTCAGGTTCCTATAAGGTGTCAGGATGTCTCTGTCTATTTCTCCTTGAAGGAATGGGAACATTTAGAAGGACACAAGGACCTCTACAAGGATGCTAGAATAAAGAACGAGCGACCCCTCACATCACCGGGTAAGAGGAGACTTTCATGTATTGAGTATTGAGGATCCCCCTAGATACACACATCCTCTGATATAAAGACATAGAAACAATGTATTCAGTCAGTGTGTGTGTTTCCTACAGATGGATCCAGTAACAGAAATACCCCAGAGAGATGTCCCCGTCCTCTGTATTCCCAGGATTCCACACAGGAACATCATGAGATCCCTCAGACCCGTCCTCTGTATTCCCGGGATTCCACACAGGAACATCAGGAGATCTCTCAGGCCTGTCCTCTGTATTCCCGGGATTCCACCCAGGAACATCATGAGATCCCTCAGGAGGATCAGGTAGATGGAAGCATTGAGCCATCATGTTCTGCTTAGGTGCCTGGAGCTGGATAATAATTGTATTGCTCTGTGGATTATGTAGAAAGAGAACCTGACTGAGTATGGGACTGAAGATGGAGAAGAAGAGACTTATAAGAGGGATGATGAGCCGAGTGAAGAGGAGGAACTTCCTTCAGAAACACAAGACAAGTGTTGTTCTCCTCTGTATTCTCGGGATTTACAGGTAAATTACACGGTTCTACGTGACTATCGGGTAGGTCGAACATCATATTAGGAATGCTGAGTCAATTACCATGGGGTGTACTTACTTTCTCACATTACCTTATGACCGTGTTGGGCGGTGGGAGGAAGGTGGCTGGATATATTATGTGAACCAGGGGAAGCCACGCTTTCTGGATAGCAAACACAAAGAGGAAGTTGGGTTGTTCTGTATCATATGGTAGCTTCTATGGAGCTGTGGGAATTGGACTTAGATATTCCCTTTGAGCTCTAGAGTTTCAACATCAGGGACGGCCATTAAGAGGAGTCACTCCACTCGCACGGCTTTATATCTTAGTGGACCCAGTAACAGAAATACCCCAGAAAGATGTCCCCTGTCCTCTTTGTCTCTGGTATTCCCCACGATAATGGACTAGAGTAGCTTTAGAATTCGGACTTGCTATATTCATGTTTCATGCTGGTTCCGGAAGGTCCAACAAAGAGATTTATTTCTGTAGATTATGTAACGCAGACTTTGTGTTGTCTAGGTTGAAAAACTATTGGACATTAAAGTGGAAGTTAAAGAGGAAGAAGAAGAGCTGTATGTTAGCGGTGATGAGCCGTGTAAGGAGGATGATGTTCCTCCAAAGATCAGCACAGGTGAGGAATAAACACTGAATCCAGAAAAGAGTCCCAGATTCTCCTTGTTCAGTCACTACAGCAATCTCTTCTCCCCCCCCCCTCTGTCAGTAGACAGTAATGGGGGGACAGAATGTGTCTAGTGGGGGGAGTCAGGAGCCATCAGCCTCTATTAGACTCCGGCTCTCCTCCTCAAATCATGTTATTGTGTGTTCCCGGCCAAGAGATGTGGCCAGTCTCTCCCCACACACACTCTCTGGGGTCTCTCATACATCTCAGAGGGCTCCACTCTCTTCTTAGAGACATCAAAGCTTGGGAGACAGTATGTGCCCAGTGGTGGAGTCAGGAGCCTTCAGCCTCTATTAGACTCCGTAACAGTGCCCCCATTATTGATAGCTGTTTGACGGATTCAAGGCTCGTGAGATGAGTGGTTTATAGGCCGGTGACGTTGTGTGTCCTCAAAAAATGCAGATGCTGACTAAGCACTTGTCTGGCCACAGGAGACCACGCTCTAGAAAACACTCGGGCAGCCCCACAAGCAAATCCATAACTGTAAAAGAATTGATGTTTTTGGAAATTTCTTGAAAGCTGGCGTAACTGTCCATGTCCTATGTCTTCTAGGTGGTCCTCAAAGCAGAAAAAGATGGTCCACTTTTACTCCACGTGGAGGTGGAGAAGATGACCTCCTAGGAGATCCTCAAGGAGCAAACTCAATGGCCTTGTATATCCAGCCAGGACGTCACATGGTTGGCCTGTCATCGGATCCCTCTCTATACGAGGGGAGTTTTCCTGGTCACTCGCGTCCCGTTGACTATCACCAAATGGGCAATACGTTCCCGTTTCCCGAGCGCAGGGAACGTATCATCAAGTCAGAAGGGATCTATTCGCATTCTAATTACGGGAAAAGTTTTATTCAGAATTGCCTTGTTCAGAGACGCCAACCAAACCACACCTGGGGAAACCCGTATTCGTGTTCCGAATGCGGGAAAAGCTTTAAGTTGAAATCGGCCTTTTTGAGACACAAAAGGACCCACACGGAGGAGAGGCCGTTTTCATGTACCGAGTGTGGAAAAAGCTTCTCTCAGAGGGCCCATCTGGTTTCCCACGAAAGGATTCACACAGGGGTAAAGCCATATTGCTGCTCTGAATGTGGCAAGTGCTTCTCCCACAAAATATCTCTCATCACGCACGAGTCATTTCACACGGGGGTGAAGCCGTTCTTCTGTTCCGAGTGCGGGAAACAGTTTTCCCGCAAGTCGGTCCTCATCCTCCACGAGAGGGTACACACGGGTGAGAAGCCATACCCGTGCCCAGAGTGCGGGAAGTGTTTTTCCCAGAGGACCCATCTGAACACACACAGGAGGAGCCACACGTCAGAGAGGCCCTTCTCCTGCTCAGAGTGCGGGAAGACCTATTCCCGGAAGTCGTACCTTGTCGACCATCTCAGGACTCACACGGGGGTGAAGCCGTATGCGTGCTCGGTGTGCGGGAAGTGTTTTTCTTGTAAGTCGAATTTAATTACCCACCAGACGATTCACAGCAGCAAGAAGCCTTTCTCCTGTACCGAGTGCGGTAAATGTTTTCAGACAAGGTCGGCCTTCACGTATCATAAGAAGTTGCACGCCGCAGATAAGATCCCTTTGTGCTGAGAAGATGGGGCTGTGTTTTGCGTTGCATTGGCCTTTTGTTGGGTTCCAGATGAGGAAGAGTAGCCGCCTGCATAGTTTGAAAGCAGGAAACTACCAGCGATCATATTACAGTGTATGTTTGTAGTTTCGGATACAGTATGGAATGGTCAAGACCCTATCTGTATCCAGTTGGGCAGATCTCCCTTCACTTCCTGTTTGGAGACACAACAGGAAGTACAGAAACTATCCCCAAAGTGTGGGGAAATACCCTCATAGTTGTCACTGGACTAGGTCTCCGCATTGGACGCTTTGGCTAGAGATACAAGATACTTTAAGGTGCACTGTGGCCCATTTCAGTCACTGGTGGGACAACCTAACATGATGCCAAAGTTAAATTGGCCTTGGAGTGCCCTCTTCTCCACAGCCTTGGCCTATAGCAGAACTCCAGGCAAAACTCATATTCTCAGGATCCCAATTATATGCCCCCAATGTATGTTCTTTGTTACTCTTAGAGATAGAAGCTTCCTGTGCCTAACTCCAAGCCCTTCACCCCTCCCACCCATATTGTGAAACATAATGGCTGCTGTTTCCTTAGTTACCCCTCCTCTCGTAGCCTGCTGTTTGGACCACGAACGAGCAGACCCACATGCATGAGCACTCTCCTCCAGTTGGCACGTTCACAAGGTTGGCTCGACAATGTTGTGCACAGTAATAGAGCCCTGATATGCCGGAGTGCTGCCCCTTCTCCCCTCCCTAGCTGAGTGTTCTACTACAGTGCATTACAGGAAGCTAATGTAAGATCAGATTCAGGTATTTATACCGTCTGTGTTGTGACATATAAAGCATACAGAACTGGAATAAAGGGTGCGTTTTAATTACTGGTTGGAGGTGTGCTTTAAAAGAAAAAAAAAGTATGTCATCCATTAAAACATGATACCACTTCCTTGTACCTTTTTGACTGATAGTATATTTCACAGCAAGGCCGAAAATGGAGTAATAAATAGTATTTATCACCTATGTTATTGTGTCTGTACATACCCTTTAAATTGCTGTTGTGTAATGCTAAATGGTGTACTTGTTGCCATTACTATATCCAGGTGTGTAAAGCAAGTTCCCAAGCATTACTTTTTTTCCTTGCTCCTGCTAACACCCCCCCCCGAGACTTCTGTTTGGAATCCTTCACTGGCCTCTTTAGAGTTTTCTAGATAAGGTGGAATAAATCTGGTGGAATAAATAAATTAGTGGAATAAAATTGTCACACACATCACTGTGTGTGACAATGTGTCAATATCATAATGTACTCAAATATTCTGTACACAAGCATGCAGCAGAAGCATAAAGATCGAAATGAGCTTACCAAAATATTTATTTTGCCTGAAGCAACATTTACGGAAGGGTCAAAGTGGCCCCATCATCAAAGAGTAAGATAAAATGATAATAGCCGATGTAAAGTCAACCTTTCCGGGAGAAAATGCAGCTCTAGACTATCTCCAGTGCTGATCATAGGACCCGAACCCTAGGCATGGAGCCATGTGATCTCTGTTGAAGGGAGGATTGGTGTACTGAATGGTTGTTGGGTACAGCAGAATTCACCATATCAAACTTTGCCGATTATCAGACTGTCAGGTACCTGGCTGGGAACCTGAGATGACAAGGATAGCCTTTCTTACTGTTAAAGTCCAAGCGCCCCCGGAATGGGAACATCGGGAATGCAAGGGCAACATATGAGTGGCGCGAGTGCTGGTTGATGACACAGGAACTTGAGAGCGTAGATGTTCAGTTGTATGACGTGCTGAGAGATGTGCACAGGTGACGCAGGGTCAGAATACATCCGGAATTCACCTGATCAAAGTTTGCCGATTATCAGACCTTACGGAGGCCAACAGTGTCGTACCTGAGATGACAAGGATAGCCCCTCTGACTTTTTAAGTCCAAGCACCCCTGAATAGGAAAACTGGGAATGCAAGGGCAACATATGAGTGGCACGATTGCTGGTTGATGACACAAGTCCTTGAGAACATAGATGTCTAGTGCTACGAAGTACTGAGAGATATGGTGCACAGGTGACATGGAGTCAGAATACTTCTGGAGTTGGCAACAGTCAGTGCGGTGCCAAGTCAGCGAGTAGGAACAGAGTCAGGAATAGGCTGGGTTAACAGTGACATACCAGGGGACGGGCAGGAATCGTAGTCAGAGAAACCCGCTGATGTCAGTGCTGGAACGGATGAGCAGAGTTGTAGACGGGTCAAGGAGCAAGCCAAGTTGGTAAAGGAAATCAGGATGCAGAATAGCAAGTAACAGGACCACTGTTGAAGACCTTCCAGCTCTGAGGGCTAGCAGAGCCTCAGTTTAAATAGCCAATATGGCTCCACTGTGAGCAATGAGGCACATAAAAGCTACATTGCTAATTTTGGGTGTAGGAAGGAAGCCAAGCCAGTACCAAAGTCAAAGGATTTAGAGAGAAGGGAACAAAAATGTTCCGTCACTCGCAAGCAAAACTGTCACAGCTCCTACAAGAACGTACCAGGTTAGGAACTTGTTTTAGACCTTGGATTAGGCAACACCCAGGCTCTAAGTATCTTCAACCAGGACCATCTTCATCTGGAAGTCTGGTGTTCCTTCCAAGTTGCCAACCTACTGAGTTTTATACCTGTCCAGTATCCCATCCTCGTCAAATCAGACATAAACAGCACCAGACCATAGAATTGCAGAGGTCCATCACGTATTTGAAATGCAGTCAAGTAATGGTTTACTCCAAAACATTGCACATCAGTACATACAAGGGACACCGTCTACCTTCCCAGGACATCACAAGGTCACCGCACCAATCTGGGATGACCTGGTATCTTGGCAATATCTAAGTGAGTCTAGGATTCTGCAGGCTAGGGATTCCCAATTCCACCCATTCGTGAACCTCTGAAGTCTAACCATGCATGCCCCTACATTTCCTCAGTCTCCCCTCCCCCAGTGATCAGACATTAAGTCACAAAGTGAGAGGCTGCAACAGAGGCTGGAGTGTGTCAGCTGAGCCAGGATCTCAGTCCAGGTATTTTTCACTTGTCAGGAACATTAATTTTTTTTCTCCTCACCAGATAAGTATTCGGAATATGGAAGTTGTGAAGGTTCTCTGTGTGCTTCTGCTCTATGTGACCTTAGTGACATCAAGCACACAGCTGTGCTATGATGCAGATAAGAGCGCCTACTCAATCATCACGTGGAGCTCCAGGGAAGGACGGCTTACCAGGTGTGAACGGGACAGACGGCGCGAAGGGAGAAAAAGGAGAAACGGGTATAAAGGAATCGATTCTAATAGGTTTAAGCGCCTAAAATGTTCTTCAAAAGTAGTTGAAAAATGTTCTATGTCAGATGTTCCACCAGGTCCATAAAGCAGTCACTGCCAGGTCCATAGAGTAGCCACTTCCAGGTCCATAGATTAGCCACCTCCAGGTACATAGAGAAGCCATTTTCAGATCCATAGAGCAGCCAGTGCCAGGTCTATAGAACTGCCACCTCCAGGTCCATCGAATAGCCACCTCCAGGTCCTCAGAGAATCCAACTCCAGGGCCATAGAATAGCCGCCTCCAGGTCCATAGAAAAGCCGCCTCCAGGTCCATAGAACAGCCACCTCCAGGTACATAGGGAAGCCATCTCCAAGTCCATAGAACAGCCACCTCCAGGTCCATAGAACAGTCACCTCCAGGTCCATAGAACAGTCACCTCCAGGTCCATAGAACAGTAACCTCCAGGTCCATAGAACAGCCACCTCCAGGTCCATAGAACAGCCACCTCCAGGTAAATAAGGAAGCCATCTCCAAGTCCATAGAACAGCCACCTCCAGGTCCATAGAACAGCCACCGCCAGGTCCATAGAACAGTCACCTCCAGGTCCATACAAGTCACCACCTGGTCCATAGAACAGCCACCTCTAGGTCCATAGATACACCACCTCCAGGTCCATACAAAAGTCCCCACCTGGTCCATAGAAGAGCCCCCTCCAGATGCAGAGAAGCCATCTCCAAGTCCATAGAATAGTCACCACCACCTGGTCAATAGAACAGCCACCTCCAGATGCCACCTCCAGGACCATAGAGCAGCCACTGCCAGGTACATAGAACAGTCACCTCTAGGTATATAGATAATCCACCTCCAGGTCCATAGAGCAGCTCCCTCCTGGTCCATAGAGCAGCCACCGCCAAGTCTCTATAGCTCAACCATCTCTAAGTCCATAGAGAAGCCAACCACAGGTTTATATTACGCCCACTTCCACATCTATAGACAAGCCACCTTTAGGTCCCTAGAAAAGCCACCTCCACCCACCAATAGACCAGATACTTTACTATAAAATATCAATAACCACTTCCATAGCTGACATCTGGCCTGCCTCCTAGTCCCTGGACCTACATATTTCCCACCAAATGTGATCGGTGGCTTCACTTGTAAATTGGACGGTGAAGATTTGGAAGGATAAGGCCTGATATCTTCTTAATTAGTGGTGTGTCTTGTTTTATTTAATGTAATACCTTAGTTAGTTAATGTATTCACTTGACTAACCAGGACCATCCTGGCCACAATGACCACCAGGGGTTGACGGAACACATGGGCTGAGAGGAGAACACGGACCCCGAGGACCGAAAGGAGACATCGGAGCCACAGCTAAATAGTGGGCAAGTACCATCTGCCGTTCTGTCTCTTTAGCTAAACCATAGTGTACTGACTTGATTTATCAGGACCACCAGGGCCAGCAGGACCACCTGGGCCAGTAGGAACATCAAGAGTTGCTGAAACACCTGGAGAACTGGGACCACCAGGACCAAAGGGAGATAAAGGAGACTCCGGAGCCACAGGTAAAAAGGGACTTTGTCTAATGTCTTCGAAAGTGTATGTTGATACCTGACAATTAATTTCTTCAGTTCAAGACTTAGTGGACTGTTTTGATGACATGAGATGGTGGTTGGAGGCTACAATTGGTGAAAGACCTTACTTGTTAGAAACCTTTTCATAAATATGTATAATCATGTTGCAGATAATTAAACTGAAGATCGGAAGATTATAACAAACTTGTAGAA